AGACGGGGTTTCACCATGTTGACCAGGATGGTCTCGATCTCTTGACCTCGTGATCCACCCGCCTCGGCCTCCCAAAGTGCTGGGATTACAGGCTTGAGCCACCGCGCCCGGCACCCCCACGTTTCCTTTCTCCAAGAAAAGTGGTTCCTTTAGCAGGAACCACCCGCCTCTTCCTGCGGCCCCGCCCGGACCCCGGAAGTGCGTGGGCCTCCCCGGATCCCAGGAGTCCGCTCGGCTCCGCCCCACCCAGGAAGTGCGCGCGGCCCAGCCCTCAATCCCGGAAGTGCGCGCGGCCCCGCCCTCAATCCCGGAAGTGCGCGCGGCCCCGCCCCGCCGGTTCGCGTCCCGTCGCTGCCGCCCGGGGACCGCTGTGCTTTCGGTAGGCGCTGGGCTGGGCGGGCTCCGCGCTTCCGTCCCGCCCCGTGCCGCGTGTCCCGGCGCCCTTGGGCCCACGCCAGGCGGGCTCTTCGTCCTGGACCCGCCTGCCGGCCGTGCGCGTCCCGCCGTGCCCGCTGCAGGTGGGCCCGGCGGCGGGGAGCGCCCTCGACCCGGACACAGGAACGAGCGCTCCGGTGCGACCAGCGGCGCGGGCGGCCCTGCCAGCGCGTGTGCGCGTGTGCGCGTGTGCGCATTCGCGCCTGGAATGCGGGGCGCCTGGGGAGCGATGCGGTAACCGAGGCCCGGGAGGGAGCCCAGTCACGAACCGGCACCCAGGATTGGTTCGTGTGATTTGAACCCACTTGTATTTTTTCAGGCAGGTTCTCACTCTGTCACCCAGGCTGGAGTTCAGCGGCTGGATCTCGGCTCACTGCAGCCGCCACCTCCTGGCTCGGGTGATCCAGCTCAGCCTGATCGCTAGCAGCACAGGCCACCGGGCTGGTTTTTAAATATTGTTTTGTCGAGACGGAGTTTCACACGTTGCCCTGGCTGGTCTTGAACTCCTGGACTCATGCGATCCGCCTGCCTCGGCCTCCCAAAGGGCTGGGATTACACGCACGAGCCACCTCGCCTGGCCTGAACCCCCTATTTAATGTCAGAAATTTGATTCGACTTTACAGAGAAATTCCTGAGAAACTCCCCAGAACGGGGTCCCTGGAGCCTTTGGAGCGTAATGTTAAGCTGGCAGGGCTGTTGCAGCCCTCGCAGAACTCCCCTGTGGAGGATTCGCCCCTTTGGTGACTCATTGGTTCTGCCCGTTTTCGGACCCTCTGAGCTTTCAGCAGGTGGAGGAAGGCAGAGAGAGAGCTGATATTCTTGGTCCATGCCAGTACTGCTGAAGCCATGATAGGACTTTCAGTTCCCTTTCTTGGTGGAGGCCAGCACAGGGGAGAGTGGGTGCTGACACGTGCTAGAAGCTGGAAGGCTGCTGGGGGCTGTCAGGCTCTTGAGACGGGAGGTTTCCAGATAGGACAGGGGCAGGTGGTGATGCAGCTGCTCCTTGTGAGTCTGGGGGGGAAGCAGCCTCCGTGCCGTCCGTGTCACTGTGAACGGAAGAGGGTCTTCCTTACACAGGAAACGGGGTCTCTGGGGGATCCAGTGGTGTGCCCAGCCACAAAGACCAGGTCACACTGGCTTATGGTGTCTGGGGCTGCAGGTGGTTTGTTGAGGGGGCCTGCCCCTGGCCTCTGGTCTGAGCCTGATGGCGTGGGCGCCTGCCTCTGGGCAGGCCCAAGGGCAAGCTGCCTCTGTCTGTCCCCAGACCCCTCCTCCTGTAGAGAGTGGTGCCGCCGTCCCCGGGATGTACATGCAGGTGGAGACCCGCACCAGCGCCCGCCTCCATCTGAAGAGGGCTCCAGGTATCCGGTCCTGGTCCCTGCTGGTTGGTAAGGCTCTCCACATCCCTCCCCAGAACCTAGAACCAGAAGACTTTCAAAAAGGATGAAAATGAAACAAAGTATTTCTTCTTTTTTCTGTTACCCTGAAATCTAACAGCTATTTTGTTTCTTTGTATCCACTTGGTTTTACAGGTAATGGCATGTCTGTCTGGTGCCCTTTTAACCATTAACACCCAGAGTATTTCATTCATACTCGATGAGCCTTTTCCGAGGTCACCATATTTGCCTTTGCCCTTGTTTTGAACCATGTGATGGGTGATGGTGGGTTCCTATTTCTCCTCTTCCCTGGTCCTCAGACCCCTTCACAGGACTCACAGTCCATGTAGCCTCCTGTCCTCCGTCCCCACCCACCAGTAGGGTCCTGTACCCTTGAGAACAGCTACAGTTGTGTTGGTGGGATGATGGGAGGTGTGGTGCTGGGTGTGCTCAGCTGCTGTGTCTCTGGGATCCGCCTTTCCTGTGACACGCCATGGCCTCCTGTGTGTTTTTCGTGGTACACTGTGTTGTAACTCTTTGTGCATAGTCTTCAGGCCTCACCACTTGCTGTTGGAATAACACCTGGGCCAGCTCTGGAGCCTCCCGTGGTGGATGTGTCCAGTGAATACTGTGAATAGTGTATGCTGTGTTTGGTTTTTGTTTTCTTTAGTGATGGTGTCTCGTTATGTTGCCCAGGCTGGTCTCAAACTCCTGGGCTCAAGCGATCTTCCTGCCTTGGCCTCCTAGGTAGCTGGGATTACAAGTGTGTGCTATGATCCCCAACTCTACTGCATTTGTGTGTGTGTGTGTGTGTGTGTGTGTGTGTGTGTGGTTTTTTGTTTGTTTGAGACTGAGTCTCACTCTGTCGCCCAGGCTAGAGTGCAGTGGTGCGATCTTGACTCACTGCAACTTCCACCTCCCGGGTTCAAGCGATTCTCCTGCCTCAGCCTCCCCTATACTGCATTTTTGTTTATTTTAAAAATTTTTTTTATTAAGACGGGGTTTCACCATGTTGGTCAGGCTGGTCTTGAATTCCCGATCTCAGGTGATCCACCCACCCTGGCCTCCAAAGTGCTTGGATTACAGGTGTGAGCCACCACGACCAGCCCTATACCGCATTTTTGAATCAACTTCCTGGCTATCTCCCCTACTCTGAACCTGGTGGTCTGTAACCCCCCACCACAGCTGTTCCTACAGTGAGAAGGGCCTGCTCATGGGGCTGTGGCTCCTGGCCTGCTGCACTGGGGAAGAGGCGGGGCTCACGGGGCTCACCAGGCAGGGAGGAGGCGGGGCTCAAGGGGCTCAACCGGCGGGGAGGAGGCGGGGCT